CCTGCTAAATATCGATCTCTTTCACCTTCTGTTGAAGATCACAAAGGACCATTTTTCTGAATTGTGAGTAGCCTGCTTCTATAAGATTACAATTCTTTGTGAACTTCTGCCAATTTTCTAAATTCTATGTGATCATATGCAGGTTCAAATTGTCCTAGAAGGTGTTCATAGCAATTTGATTGGTTCAATGTATTTTCTAGATGAACCAGCCAAGGATCTAGCATTGGAGCTTGTGGAAAATGTATGTGCTTAATTTGAGTAATGATACTACCATTATTTATCTTATTTAGTCAATTGTTATTTTACTTGAGATTTTATATAATAAACTACTTCTGCAGCACACCTTTTTGATTGATTTATGGAAACTCTATCATGCTTGTAGCTACTTGAATATGTACTTAATTTTGGTAGGGTCCTTAGAAGGGATATGTAGTGCTTAAACTCTGAATGATGGGCAGGATATATTATTGAAGGAATCTTATATTTATTGGTTTTTAGGCTTGTGCTAACCCTTGGATTCAAATGAATGGTCTTAAAATATGAAATATTTGCTATATATGATATGCTTTAGACAAATTCTTCATTAATTTCTTACATAAAAATAAAAAGAAATCTATTTCAAGATGAGATATAAATAATGCAATTTATTTAAATATGATAGCATGATAAACAAGGTAAAGTGGGCTGGGATTTCCTACCTGAGATCTAAGAGATTTATCTTCAAAGCTGTCTTGAACGTATTCCCCCTCTCATAAAGCTTAAATCATCCATAGTCGTTAATCAACCCAACAACATCTACATTTTGCATCGATTGCTAACTATCTTATAGTCCATGAGATATTGTTGATTACAAACAAAATAAATTGGTGAAAATTTTACAGTTACCTCTTAAGATATATTGGATGGTTCTTTGACTATCTTATAAAGAGGCAAGGTGTCATATACGTTCCGTGGGATATCACTTCCTTCATATAGGATGACTTGGGTCAATCTGTGAAATGTGATAACACAAGGGTGATCACAAGGCATAAAATGATTATAGTAGTAACTGCTAATTGCGTTGAATCCCTTGAAGTAGTAGCATTCTCCCTCTCTAACAATCATCCGGAATTTGTTTAGCATATCTTTCTCAGTGACTACAGCCTGGATTTTGTTAACTGTGAAATATAGACATCATAAGTATTACAAGATTATAAAAGTATGGATGCGAACATAAATAAGCAAAGCCATACCTCCCTGTCCATTAGAATAAAGTTGAGGGTTTTGATTTTACCCTCGTGCATATTAAGCATCATTGAATACTCGAATAACAGAGATGCATATGGGTCTGGTGAGGCAGTTTGAATCTATACTGAGAGGTAGGTCCATCACGTTATCCATTGCCTATTGTTATGTGTGAGTAGAAGTAACTATATGAGAATTGAGATTCCATCCCTTGTGATTCTTTTATAGACTTTGTATATATAGGGTGCTATCTGTAAGGGATATCACGCCATGTTGGCTTACTTGTATGCCCATTAACTAGCTCACTTGCCATGATTGAAAAACATGGCTCTAAAATGTTGAGTAGTGCATTATTTTTCTATTTCTTACAAAAAAAAATTCGTGACACATCCATACACACAAGTCACCTTATATTCCATATATGAGTTTCTAATTATAATCCCTCCCTATCATCACAAATCATGGCACATATATCGGATGGAAGTAATTATTTATTTATACAAGTAGTTTCGGGTGGTTATGCAATTTCGATTTCAATTTAAGAATATGGAGATTATGTGGGATTTCAAATTTGATTATACTGGCCATGATGTGGAGTACATATTTTCAATTTTGCATTAATTTCTTAGTATTATTTAGTATTAATGTTGCATGGAAGTGAGTTTAGATTCCATTTTAAATTATTATAATTTAACTAATAAGATAAAATAGATACTGGTGATACCTAATTAGGAAGTGTTTAGTTGTTTAATATTTATATATTAAAATTTTTAATTTTGAATAAAACAGATACAATAATTTAGAATTATAATTATCTATGTGTGCAGATTATTTTTTTTGGCCATAAAAAAAATTGTTTAACATGGTTGGTTTTAGAAATAAATAAAAATTATAAAGATTTTTTATTTATATTTAATTTATTATCATATTTATGTAACCCATATCTGATATTTATGCTTTGTGGTTAAGGTCGTGATTCAACTAATATTGAGATGAGAGCAAACACAAGGTCCAAGAAACAACGTTAACTGTGATATGAGAATGAATGCTTTTAACTTAAGTTTTCTGATTTTAAATCATTATTTTCATCATAAAATATATTTATTCATAGTTAGAGAGAGAAAAATAAGTTAATAGAATTTAAAGAGACTTGCATGCAATGTTGTTTCTTCAAATTTTTAATGCTTAGAGTTCATTGTGATATTTACAACCAAAATATTTAATATTTATTTTACCTTTTAGATTCAGAATAAAAATCTTGAATAAATAATTTAAATTTTAAATTAAGAATAAGCCAAAAATCAAATAACTATATTGTATGATCTCATTTTTTTTTAAATATACATGTAGGATCTTATATTTAGAACAAGAAGCAATAACTAAGAAAAAAATGAACACAGGTCCCATCCAATAATGATTTCTAATTTACATTGTTGATGGTAGTTGTCAAATTAAATTATACGGGTGTATTTTAAATTTCAAATTAAGAGAAAATCTAAAAATTAAATAACTATTTATATGTATAAGTGGGTACTTGGCCTTCCACCAAAATTGAATGCTTCAATCATATTTATTAGCGGTGTTCAATTTGTCCCGTCTCGGTCGTTTCGTCCCGGTCCCGGTGAATTCGGGACGGGACAAAAAAAATTTCGGGACGGGACAAAAACGGGACGGGACGGGATAGTAACCGGGACGGGACGGGACGCGGGACGGGGTCGTCCCGTCCCGTTCCGTCCCGGAATTTTTTTTTCTTTAAAAATTATTTATTAATAATTATTATTAGATGTACTCTTAAGTTGTAGTATTTCTAGCTCAATCTAATCATAAAATAATAACATAAAGTCATTATATAGTGTTTTTTTTACACCTTTTTTATGCTATATAATTAAGCTTTCTACATAATATTTTTTTATAATATTTTATCTTTAAAAGCCCAATAAAAAATAAGTATTATAACATAAAAAAATTCATATAAAAAATTATGGTTTTTTTTTTTTAAAAAAGGGGAAGCGGGACGTCCCGGTCCCGTCCCGGTACCGACGGGACCGGGACTGGACCGGGACGGGACGGGACACGGGACAAAATCCCTGTTCCGTCCCGTCCCATGAACACCCCTATTGTTTATATATAACAATATTATAAGTGAAGTCAATTGGTCTTTGTAATAACATAGTTAATTGTGATTATATTAGTAAAACATGTTATAGGAGTACCTATAGAATATTTAAGAGCAATGATGCTTTGAATATTTTGAAAATAATGATCTTAAATGATAGAAATGTCACAAAAAAAAAACTTTTGATATTACTTACAAAGAAACTTTTTATAATCTTATCTCTTGAGCATATATATGAATTTTCTTTTTTGGTGACACAGGCATATCTATCAATTTAACTAATTTAACTAATCACTATATAGTGATTGAACTTTTTATGCCATACGAAGAAATACTAATTCACACCCGTGCATTGCACGGGTATTGTACTAGTTATTTATTAAAACTCATATTCATTTTGATCATTTTATAACCAAACTTATTTTTACTCAACCATAATCTAAACAACTCTTTACCAATCTTATTTTTACAAACTAACTTTTCTGAACTACAATCCAAACACAATTCAGTTTATCCAATTTAGCTTTTACCCAACTTCATTTTTTTTATAAGTCAAATTGACAATAACCTACTTTTCCAATCGCTAATCAAACGGACCAAAATTAAGTTAGACAAAAATCCCTCACTTTTTCTCTTTCTTCCATCTCTTTCTCTCCTCCGTAGAGCCAACGAATTCAACTCTTCCCTTTCTTTTTCTCACAGCTTGTTCATTTGATTTCTATGCTAATTTGAAACAAGGAAGTGTGAAGATTTGGTCACAAGTCCAAGAGAGAAAGTTTGCTTTGGACAACGGCTGGATTATTGAGAAGATACTTGTGCTGGGATTAGAAGGAAGTGCTGCACCATCGTCACTTGAACTTGGTGGTATACCTTTGGTAGGCACATCTGAAATGGAGGTTCCTACATCAGAGTAGAAGTATTGGCTGGAGGGACAAGAAGATTATGAGCAAAAAGCAATGATAGTAGACGTGAACAGTTTGAAAATCCTTGTAGGTAAAAATTTTGCAATAACTTAAAAAACAGGGGTTTCTTATTGAGATATACAGGTATGTTGTCAAATGGAATTTGGGATTCGCTAAGTAGGACAGTGCGACATTTTCTTCCTTGCCTTTTTTAAGTTATGAACATATAAGACTCATGTTGTAGTTCTACAAAATCATAGGTGCATTAGATTAAGTTTCTAAATCCAGTCAAAGCTATAATTTTTTCCCCTTTAAGTCGTTTTCTGAGATTAATCCGCTATGGCGCTATAACTAACAACAGATTAAAATTTAAAATTTGAATGGTTAAGCTTTTGTGCTAAAATGATATCTTTTCCACATTTTGATAAAAAATTACAAGTATAATAAAGAAAATTACAAGTTCTGAAAAGCATTTCATATTAAGTTTTTAGTTAAAATGACATTTTTTTTCACATTTAAATAAAAAATTACAAATATAGTAAGAAAAATAGCAAGCTTTAAAAAGTATTTTATATTAAGTTTTACTTGCAAATGACATGATATCCACTTTTCATTAATCATTGACACACATAGTATGCCAAATAACAACTTTCAACCGCAACTTATTAACAAGTTTTGTATACGAATTAACAATTTATTAACAAATAACAATTTTTAATTGTAACTTTATAAGCATAATAACATTTCTATGAGGATTATTAAGAATCTACTAGCAAATAACAATAACATTTTTATCATGTTAATTTAACTTGAAACTAAAATATTACAGATTAAAATATTTCATATGATAAAGAATTAAACATGGCCAGATAAACATCCTATGAAGTTTCAATCTATTTGAGAACAAGGTACCCAGAAAGCAACGAGTACAGAGGCTACATATATTTTTCGAACTTCTGGTTGCAAATTCTGGCATACAGCAGCAACACAGCAAACTATACCAACTCAACAAAAAACTTATTAACTAGTCTCTATCCCTTTTCAATTATTAAAAACTTCCCGCATCAAAATCCCATTATTAGTAGTCATTAATTTTCTCGTGACTTCTGCTATTTCTTGCTCTTGTCTTTCAATCTTCTCCAAATTGCTTGAACACCATGCCTCCTGCAATGAAAGAATAATTTTCAACAATTAGGATTGCCATGTGCCAAAAAATGTCAACAATCAAATCTGCTTAAATTTTAAAATTAACACATAGTAGTTGTCTTTAATGTCAATCTTATTAGGAACAAATTTGATTCAGCTTTAAAAGCCCCAAACTCATTCTCAGAAACTCCTCCATTGATTCTTTTCAATAACAAAACTCCTTGATTGACAACTTCAGAGTCCGAAGAGAAGCTCTGGCAGCCACTATATCACAACAGTTATAATTCATCTAAAATGTAACAGTAACAATAACAATAAGGAAGAAGATCCAAGCTAAAAGAAAAACAATCCCATGGGGTGCATCGTACACGGAGGTGTTTCCATGTTTCTATAGTCTAAAAGGGAGAAAGAAAAAGAACCAATGAAGGGTACATAGTACAGAATGAATGATCACCAACAGGAGCTTCGGATTTAGGTTTTTTGTATTCTTGGCCTCAAGCCCTCAGGTTCTGATTAAATTATAAAATTATAAAATAAACAAAATTACCGAATTGTACCGCTTGATTCACACGCCTCTGGCTGCGATTGATATAGTGAGTATTCGATCCAAACAGTGAGGCGAACGCATTGTTACCAAAGAAGAAGGACTCTTGGAGCTATTGAACTCATCGCTGGGCTCAAAGGGAAGACACAAGCTCATTAGACTTTGAATGCTGGATTCATAAAGAGATGAAATTCTACCCCTGTTGAATTCGGAGCGTCATCTTTTACCTCGTTGGCCCGTATCGGAACAGAGGAGCACTCCTCTCCACCACCAGCAACGCCCTTAATATCCCTCGCACTACACCCTCCCCCGCCAGAAATTTTGAAACTTTATGGTAGAACCACGTCTCAAGTCAAAACCTAGAACAAAGATTTAAATTTTAAAAAAAAAAAATCAAACCCATAATAATCAAGTGACCCTGTTTCAAGAAGCAGAAAACGAAATTGAGGGCAAAAAAAAGCTAGATGTGTCCAAAACCAAAAACCAGAAACGAACCAGAAATCGAAGGAGAGAGGGAGACGAGTCAGGGAGGAAAAGTCGAACCATCAACAATCACCGTTGCCATCCTCGCCGTTGCTCCTTCGCTCATCGTCGCCTTTTCATTCACTCCTTAGCGTCATTGCCTTTGCCGCGATAAGAAAGGAAAAGAGAGACGAGTCATAGAGTGAAGAATGATGAAGTTGGGCCACGTGGACAGAGGATTTTTTTTTTTTTTGGCCAAAGTGGACAGAGGATTAAGGAAAAACATAAGGCCTTTTCGCATTTTAACTAATATTTCATAATTTTTACTCGAGATGGGTCTCTCTAGATAATTTTTTTTTATTTAAGTATCTATTTCATTATTTTGTTATTTAAGTGTTTTTTATGCAATTTTTTCCAAAAATAAAACCGCCAAAAAGGGAAAATAAAAAAAAGAAAATAAATATGTCAAAACAAATAGTGGGCACGTGACCCACCATTTGAAAATGGGTATTGGAAACCTATTAGACCCCTCGTCTTTTTTAAACACCGGAAAAAATCACTAAAAACCTTAGAAATTATCAAATTCTAATTTAAGTATTCCAATTTGCATAATTTCTATATGAAAGATTGAAATTTAAATTAGAATTATGAAATCACGTAAAAAGACTAAAATACCTTTTTAGGAGAAAGCTTTGCTTTTCCATTTTTTCTATATTTTTCAGTCTTTTTTTGGGAAATTACAAATAGAAGAATACTATCGAATATGTAAAATTGTAATTTGGGACCCTTAGTTTGGAAAATAGCAAATAAGAACCTGATCTCACTTTTTGCAAATTGAAATCATGGTGAAATGTTTGAAATGCCCTTTAGCTAAATGACAAGTTGATTATGGAAATGAGAAGTTCATTTTAGTGAATGAAACTTCAGTATACCAAATAACTGGCTGAGGGTATGCCAAATGATGATTGACTATGGGAAATGGCAAGTTCATTTTAGCAAATAAAAACTTCAGAGTAGACCAAATCATGATTTGGTTGAGGGACATTTCAGACATTCCACCATGATTTCATATATTTGCAAAAGTGAGATCGGGTCCTTAGTGTGTTATTTTCAAATTGAGAGTCCCAAATCATAATTTTACATATTTGGCAGTTCTTATTTGTACTCTTTCTCTTTTCTTTTACTGCCCATCAAACAACCGCCCTGCATTAAATGCAGCGGCTGTTGCTCCCCAACCAGGTCTAGAAATTCTCTTTGTTGCTTCATAGCCCTATGTGATTAAGGGGATGTTTGGATGAAATCAAACCATGGTTTGGAGAATAGCTTTGAAGAAGTTTTTGGAAAAAATAGATTTTGTGAAAAAGTGATTTTGAGAAGTGAGAGGATTTAGATAGTTGTTATCAAAAGCACTTTTATGTATACAAATTACTAAAAAAGGCATAAGTTAAATAAGATATGATAATTACATAAAAAGATATATTTTATGATATATTTTAATTTAAAGGAATAAAATTATTAATAATATATTTTTTACCAACATAATTAATAATACATAAGATAATGTAATTAATAAATAGTTAATATGTGTATGTATATTTATAAGATATAATATTAAATAGTTTATAAAAAATAATTAAGGGGTGTTAAAGTCATATTACTGTTTGAATCTACTCTGACAGGCACAATCATACTCTTCAATTTAAGCCAAAAATATAATAGATTCACTTTTTCTGAAACCATGGTTTTGAGCCTCAAACCATAATTTTAATCCAAAACCATGGTTTGTCAATTTCTTCCCCTGTTGGCAAAGTTTGGAACCCAAACCATTTGGGTTCCAAAACCATGATTTTGAAGGTTGGCCAAACAGGTCCTAAGTATGCTTAACACACTCTTTTTTTTTGTGCCATAAAGATTTTTTTATTAGTTGCAAATTATGCTTAGTGTGAACTTTTTTTAATAATAAAACTATTCTTTCCTAATTTTTACAAGGAAAAATGGACAATAAAAGAAATTCCATTTTAGTCAACTAGATCGAATTTTTAAAATTTGATCATGATATTGCCCTTATCTCATTTGTGCTTATTTAACAGAAATATTTTGAAAGCATGTTATTAATTGTGTTATCAAACTTGTTAATAGTATTATATTACTTGTTAATCACATTACAGAAGTTGAAATTTTTTTTAACTCATTAGACACTTAGAAAACTCTCAAAGTAAAAATACTTCTCAAATCATTTGGTAAACATCGTTATTAGAGTTGTTGTTAATATCTTTACAAGAGTTGTTAACTGTATTACTGAAGTTTGAAAAAAAAAATCCAACTTTCATAATTTTCTAGCAAACAAGTTAATAATTCTATTACTAGACTTGTTAATACTATTATATTTTACGGGACATTTAAAAACTCTTGAAACGGTTGTTTAATGGAAAATGACTTCTTTCTGAAGATAGATTGGCCTACAAGGGAGAAAAATTCGAAGATTGACTACGTAACATGATAAGGATATCAAAGTGGGCAGTGGCCAACTAGGAGCAGATTATAGCAAACCCTATGGTTACGTTTGTAGGAAGCATTGAAAATGAGGGATTGAGATTGGGATTATAATTGAAAAAATCTATTAGAGAGAGTGTTTAGTATAAGAGATTGTTTGATATATGGAATTAGCCAAAGTCATGTATGTGGGATTGGAGAATACCATAGGAGAAATGGTATTCCCCATCCTACCTTTATGGGTTTACCTAATCCCATATAATAAAACAATCTCTCATGATAAGTACTATTTTAATGATTTTTTCAATTACAATCCCAATTTCAATCCCTCATTTTCAATGCTTCATACCAAACGGGACCTATGCGTAATCACTTACCATCCAAGACAGATTGACAGGCTCTTTCTGTATATTTCTTTTTCAAAGAACTAGAATAATAAGTTAAATAGATTTTCTCTAAAGTAAGTTCCTTAAGTTAAATATAACCTGATTTTATTATCCTTTCAATAATATTTTTTCATCATATTGATAACCATTTATATATTCTTCAGTACTGTTGCCAACTGAGAAGTGCAGGCTACAAATATTATGTAATCCATTATATGTATGAAGTGTAGAGTGCGGATACTAAATTATAAAGGTCATTTATTTGGTGACTACTCTTATTTAACTATTGATTACTCTAATTTCGCTATTGAGTACTTTTATTTCAAAATTTAAAAAATGTATTAAGTGTTACTGGAGATCTAGTTACTATTTTTTGTTTAGTTATCTACTATTATTATGTAGTCAATAATTATACAAAAATAATCATCAAAATTTTGAAATAAAATGAAATAAAAGTAGTCAATTGTTTAAATTAGAATAGTTAGTAACTATATGAAAGTAGTTGCTAGGAATAAGGTTAATATTGTCATTTTATAATATTTGAAAGTTCCAAAATAATGCATGGGGTCTGATTTAGGATATTAAAGTTCACTTACTCTAATTTGTCTTTTAGCATTTTGAAGATATTTTAGTGTGTATTTTTTTGGAAATAATTAACTCTCCTAAAACCTCTAAGCCAACAAAGATCAAGACCATTGATAGAGTGATGATGATGATATGGCCAATGACACCAATGTAACATGCCTTTTTTTAAAAAAAAAATTGAAATTCTAAAAATAAAAAATAAATAAAATAATATTTATTATAATTAATTAAGTAAAAAAAAAAAAAAAAAAAACACCAGCTTTCCACTGAAATGGAGAGAAAATGGGAGAGGGATAGTTGGAAGATAAAATATAGAAGAGAAAGCAGAAAGAGAAGAGAAAGGGAGAGCAGAAGGCTAAAAGGGCGAGCGTGAGCGTGACAAAAGCAGAGAAATGTTGGCATTTGAAGGATAATGCAAGCTTTGAAAAATCATCATCTAGGTATATAAAAATACTTTTTTTAGCATATTTTCTTTATGAAATTTTTTTTATATATTAGAGCTTTATATTATTAGTATCATTATAATATTTAAAGAAAATTTTACGGTTTGAGTATAGAGTAAGTATTGAGTTTTAACAATATATATAGTAGAAATTTAAAAAATACTTTATAAGAAATTTTAATCAGTTTATATTTTCAATAATTTGTTTTGAGAATTTTAAATTAAAATTTTAATTGAAAAATTTAATTTAAGAAATATAAAATATTTTTACCGATTAAATTTAAGTTGAAAAATTTATTTGAGTATTTAATATAATATTGAAATTTTATCGGTTTGAATATTGTATAGGTTAAATATATATATTTTTAAAATAATTGTTGAAGGCTTGAAAAAACTATAAACTGAGAATTTTAATATAAAATATTTATATTTTAGGTAATAAATATATTTATTTAAGTTATTAAATTTAAATAGTCTTATATGAAAATTTTATTTTCAAAATAATATTGCATCTATTATAAATAGTTGGATATGTGAAAGTTAATATGTTAGATATTTGTTATAATTTTGGTTCAAAGGGTAGTTTTGGAATTTTAAAATAGTTTTAGAATAGTTTGATTATATATTAATAAATATTTATGTGTAATTTTGTAGACTCTTGAAAATTTTATATAACCATTATCTGAATATTTGCAAGTAGTAAAGAGTAGTAGGTAACTATGAAAATTTTTTTCATGTACATGTGAATTTTGTATGATTATATTGTGAATTTATTAATTTTTATTATAACATATTGAAATATATGTATATATTATGATTTTTCAAATAAATGTTTTAATATATTACTTTAATTTGTTAAAAATTATTATTACTATTAATTATGATTAATATTTAAATATATTGATAGTTATTGATATAGAAATTTTATTGCTATCTTATTTCAATAATATATTTGATGAAGTACTTCTTATGTAACATTATTTGCATATGACATAGCATTGTTGGACTAATGATAGAAGGAGATTTGTATGGATATAAAATTACTACATGGTATCCCACCACTAGATGCATAGTAGATGACACTTGTCAGGGTCCCTTCTTTCATGTTTCCTTTGGCTGGGAATTTATTGGAACTGTAGGACATGTGACACCTCCTTATTTTATTTGCAAAGAAAGAGAGAGCTATAGTCCAAACTTGAGCTTTATATTTTTGGCTGGATATATCTCCAGTGTTTGGTGAGCTTGAAATAATTCAGTAAAATAGATTAGTTTTTAT